AAACCAGAAAGGACTATGGAAGCAAGAAGCAGCATGGCCAAATTTCACACCAAATCAACTGCAGACACAGCAATAAAAGTTGGGAAGCTAGGTCAGAAATGAAGTGTTATCTGCTGGGAAGATTCAATCCTCTGCTGTTAACAGCGCCAAGGTTTTGCTTTTCCCCATTAGGAATTTTGTTGGCATCTCCATCAGACAGTTTTTAGCCATAAATGATAGTAAAGCAGGAGAAATGAGCAGGAATGGGGGGATTGGCTTTTCCATCCTTTTGGAAGGAACCAGAGGCACAACAGTGGACGTGAGCTCGAAGTCAGAACAGGAATGGTGGGAGAAAAGCAAGGAGCAAGTTGAGACAAATATGGATTTTGCCCTAATTTGCCAGGATGCACAACTGCCAGCACTGTGAAGGGCTTTGATCCCACACTGTCTGAGGAGAGAGCTCTGCAGGTGCCTGGAATGGGGACAGGGAGCCAGGAGCTGATGGCCCAGCACCCCAGGTGATGCCTTACATTTCAGCATTTATATTTTCCAGCTCCTGTGCTGCCTCAGTGCATAACTGAACTCCACAGAGAGCGTGAGTTACTGCCTTCACATTTTGGGCACACAAAACAATCCCTCCAGGCCTGAGAACCAAGGACACTCCACTGCCTCAGGCCCTGAAAAGTATCAACAAAAGTGAATTGTGGGGAGCAAACTGGGGGTAAATTACTTCATTACCTGAAGGTGTAATTGGAGGATTAACCCAATGGATTAATGGAGGATTAATCCATTGATATGTAAATGGACCAAGCGCATACCTGTCTGAAAAACTCATTTACTGAAGGACTTTAATAAATGCCCACTTTATTCTCTGCTTCTGTCTGACCTCTGTTCCAGGCAGCCACCACAAACCAAGCCAAGAGTGAGCAGCCCTGGTCCTGCAGCTCCCTCCCTGCTCCATCAATCACCCAGGGCTGGTGTTTGAGGAATTGCTGCCATTCCTGAGCCATTCCTGAGCCATTCCTGAGCCACTCCTGAGCCAGCCACCAGTGGGGTCTGACAAAGGAAAGACTTCAACACTTATTTCAAATAAAACAGCCCAATGCTCTGCTCCTGCCAGCCAGGACAGGTGCCAGGGGGGTGAGAGGCCACCAAAACCTGGCAAGGGGCAATCCCAGGTCCCTCCCCAGTCCCACCACACGAACTCTGTGGAACAGCCACACTGCCCCAAAAATGAGGGTCAAGGAATCATGGAATGTCCTGAGTTGGAAGGGACCCACTGGGATTGCTGATCCAAACCCAGACACCCCAACAATCCCACCCTGGGCATCCCTGGCAGCGCTGTCCAAACTCTCCTGGAGCTCTGACAGCCTCGGGGGGTGCCCAGCACCCTCTGGGGGAAGAGCCTTTCCCAAAATCCAACTTAAAATCCCCTGGCACAGCTCCAGCTCTTCCCTCAGGACAATGGAATCCCCCCAGCCCTCCCAGCACATCCAGGTGCAAGCCACCACCTTCACCAAAATTATGCTGGTTTTCACACCTCAGAGCATTTCTAACCAAACCCAAGTAAATAATTCCCGATTCTGGAAGCTCAGATTTGTGTATTCACTGAACAATCGGTGCATTTTCAGCTCAGGCTGGCACAAGGATGAATAAACACTTCACATCCTGTTGGTTCACAGTCAGAGGGGCCACCAGAAGCTGCTGTGCCTGCTCCATCATCACTGCAGACACCTGCAAACCCCACAGGCAGCACTGCCACTCCAGCAGAAAGGGGTCAGGAACAGGGAGCTGCCTGCTTGTTTATAATGGATTTATTACAGATCAATTCAGGATTCCACAGACTCCAGGTTCATTAACAGTCTCCAGCCCACGAAGTGAACCAGAGCTGATGAGCAATGACAGAATTGCTTTTACAACCCAGGTGTAGCACTCGAGTTAAAGGCGGTGCAAATCCAGGTTACCGCCAGCAGAAAATGAAAGTAATTACATTATTCATTCCTTATGCTCTAAGTTAATAATTTTAAAACAAATAGATAAGAAAAGTTAAAAGTCTTGGGAATTCACTAAGGTGTTTTTTCCCTCAGAGCAGAGTTCTTTGACTGGAAATAGTCTTTGTGAAAGGATTTCTGTAAATGACAGCTCCTTTTTGAGAGAAACACATGACCAGAAGAGATTATTTTGTTCAGTGTGGCTCAAAAACTGATCAGCTTCCCAAGAAGATGCTCTATCAGTCCGACATCAGAGGTGAAGCCTGTGGCAAGGAGGCTCTGTCAGAGCCAGCAGAGCCTGTTGCTCAGGGAGGAGATGCTGCCTGTGAGCTGATCCGTGGTGTTTCTGTCCCTCCCAAATCCCATCTGTCTCTTGGTTGGGAATTCACTGTGAGGGAGAAGCTGCAAGAGCTGCAAGCTGCTTGTCTCTCACGTTTGCTTCCCTAAAAACACTGCAATTCCCCGTTGTGCCCTCCCTGCTGCTGCCACTCTGCCAAGGGAGCCCTCCCCAGCTTTAACCAGTTCAGGACAGAGCTAACCCAGCAAACCCACTGGAACTCAGAGCACACGGATCTGTGACATATAACCCAGCACAGAAACCCTTCTGAAGGGCACAGAAATCCGACAAGTGACACTGAATCACAGGGCTGACTCCCTGGAATTCCCCACCTCACTGCCATGCCTTCCAGGGTCGTGTTTTAAATAAATCCAAGTAGTTCTACAGAAGCGTCCGAAGCAGAGACCACCAGCAGCTACACCAGAACGGGGTGAACACCAGGAGAACATCAGAATCAGAGTGTTCTTTTGCAGAATCCCAGACTGTTTTGGGGTGGAAGGGACCTCTGGAGTTCATCCACATCAGCTGTAGCACAGGAATCATCCAGGTGGGTTTGGGGTGTCACCAGGGAGGGACATTCCAGGCCCTCACTGGAGCTGCTCCAGGGCTCTGCCACCTCCATGGAGGTGGGACTTGTGTTTTATTTTATGGCCATGGCTGGGAAGGGTCTGGCACCATCCTGGCAGCCTTTGGAGATGTTTATATGCATTGGTGAGATGCATATACACAGTATTTTCATTTTTTTCTGAACAAAAGCAGCGTCTTTGCACTTCAAGCCTCCCTGGCTGGGATTTGTCACCACCCCACACAACCCGGGGCATTCCCCTCCTTGCAGCCACTTCACCACTGGCACAGCCCCAGCCCAAAAGCCCAAATCTCCCTCTCAGTCCTCATCAACCCCTCCAAAGTCCCCCCAAACCAGTGAGAGCTGGGCCCTGGAGCACGGCACGGGACACACTTGCAGATAAGAAACTCATCAAGTCTGCAAACACCAAAATTACAATGCCAGTGAGTCAAACACTTCCCGACAGAGCCAGGCAGTGCCTAAATAATTCTGTCACTGCCTTTGGATCAACCTCATTGGTCCTGGCAGCAAATTAAACCCCAGATCTGCAGCAGGACAGCCCCCATGTCACCTGGGGGGAAAAAAAACACCTTTTTCACCCAGCTGATCACCCAGGAGTCACAGGGTACACCCTACCACATGCTTTTTTGGGTGGAAACATGCAGGAAGAGGCATTTTTTCCTTCCACCCTGCTTATTCTCAGGCCAGTGCCCTTTCTGGGAGAGGAGCTGTCACAAGGAGCAGCTGGCTGAGGCCAGCATGGAAAACTCACCCCGGAAGGTAATAAATAAATAAAAGGGAAGTCAGAGGAGTGCCTCTGATTCATCTGCTGCCCAAGGCCATTCTGAGGTGTGCTCAGAAAACAGCAGCACAGGCAATCACCCCGGCAGGATATGGGGTTATCTGATCATCCACCAAAGTTTGGGAATGACGGGTGCCCGCAGCAATCTCAGCAGCCCATGTACACGCTTCCATGGATAAACAGCAAGAAACAAAGTTCAGGGTGTCAGCACTCCACACCCTGCCAGTTACCTGGAGAAACCAGATAAGGCTGTAAAATGTCCCTGCAGCTCCTGAGGAGCTGAGCTGCCTCCCTGCACAGCCACTCTCAGCTCACAGTCACTGTGAAAATCACACAGGCTGAGGTTTTTCACCTTCAAACTCACAGGCTGAACGCCCTCATGGGAGCTGGGCCAATGAACACTTTGCAAGCACAAAATTACTTAATTTTTTTCCTCACGTTGAGAAGTCCACTGCTAAACACCGGCGGCACAGAAGATCACTCTTAGTAAAATAAGTTATCAAAAGCTGTCTGTGTCATAAGTGGCTTCCTGCCAAATGTTCCCTGCCCAGTTCTCACCACCAACCCCAAAACTGTGGGTTTCAACTCTCAAGCGGAATTTTGTCAGCGACACCACGGGGTTCTGTTCCTGTTACAGACAAATGAGCCAGCACTCAGAAAAATCCTTTTAAATAAGGGAGAGAGCAGGAGGTACAAGGTGCCAATCAGAGAATTATGGAATGATTCTCCATGTTTCACTTCTGCCATGGGCAGGGGCACCTTCCACTATCCCAGGCTGCTCCAAGCCCCGTCCAGCCTGGCCTGGGAGACTTCCAGTCAAACTTTCCCTATCCCTCACCCTAAATCAAGATTTCCAGCCCCTGGCAAAGACGTCACCCAGAGCCCTCAATTTGCCCATTAAACTCTCTTTATCCTTTTCCAACCACATCTCCTTCCAGGCACACCACACCAGAAGGCAAACTTTTTCTGCTGCGTTAGATTTTTTTTTTTTTTTCAGTGAAAAACATGCTGGAGAGGCAAAACGATAAAAGTCAGCCCTGAACTTTGAGGGGTTCCTGGAGAAGAGCGGCGGACACGCAGCCCCGGCTCTATGCACCCCGAAATTCCGGGAGCGGCAGACCGGGAACGGGAGAGGGATGCCCGGAGCGGGATGGGAGCAAAGAGAGGAAGGGAGAGAAGGAAAATGAGGGAAAGGGATGGGCCAGACGAGAAGGGAATGGGATGGAGTGGGAGAGAAGGGACGGAACAGAGGGAAGGCATGGAAAAGGGGGGAAAGGATGGGAAGGGGCGCACAGGTCCGGGGCATCCCGGCTGGCACTCACTCACCGACCCCGTACTTCTCGCGCTTGGTGGGGATCCAGCGGGCCATGCCGGCGGGTTCGGGGGTCCCGGGGGTTCGGGGGTTCGGGGGGTCCCGGGGGTTCGGGGGTCCCGGGGGTTCGGGGGGTTCGCTCAGCGCCGCGCCTCGCCCGCCGCAGCCCCGCGCTGCAGCCGCGGGCCGGGCGCTCCGGGCTGCTCAGCCATGCTCCGCTCCGAAAACTCCACAATTCGGTCCCGAACACGCTCCGAAAACTCCCCAATTCGGTCCCGAACACGCTCCGAAAACTCCCCGGCACACGCCCAACTCCGCAGCCTCCCCCGGCGCGCCGAGCGCAGGAGAGGGAGGGGAGAGCCCGGCAGGAGGAGGAGGAGGAGGAGGAAGAGAAGGAGGAGGAGGAAGAAGAGAAGGAGGAGGAGGAGGAGGAGGAAGAAGAGAAGGAGGAGGAGGAAGAAGAGAAGGAGGAGGAGGAGGAGGAGGAAGAAGAGAAGGAGGAGGAGGAAGAAGAGAAGGAGGAGGAGGAGGAGGAGGAAGAAGAGAAGGAGGAGGAGGAGGAGGAGGAGGAAGAAGAGAAGGAGGAAGAGAAGGAGGAGGAGGAGGAGGAAGAAGAGAAGGAGGAGGAGGAGGAGGAGGAGGAGGAGGAGGAGGAAGAAGAGAAGGAGGAGGAGGAGGAGGAGGAAGAAGAGAAGGAGGAGGAGGAGGAGGAGGAAGAAGAGAAGGAGGAGGAGGAAGAAGAGAAGGAGGAGGAGGAGGAGGAGGAAGAAGAGAAGGAGGAGGAGGAGGAGGAGGAGGAGGAGGAGGAAGAAGAGAAGGAGGAAGAGAAGGAGGAGGAGGAGGAGGAGGAAGAAGAGAAGGAGGAGGAGGAGGAGGAGGAGGAGGAGGAGGAAGAAGAGAAGGAGGAGGAGGAGGAGGAGGAAGAAGAGAAGGAGGAGGAGGAGGAGGAGGAGGAGGAGGAGGAGGAAGAAGAGAAGGAGAAGGAGGAGGAGGAGGAAGAAGAGAAGGCGGAGGAGGAGGAGGAAGAGAAGGAGGAGGAGGAGGAGGAGGAAGAAGAGAAGGAGGAGGAGGAGGAGGAGGAAGAAGAGAAGGAGGAGGAGGAGGAAGAAGAGGAGGAGGAGGAGGAGGAAGAAGAGAAGGAGGAGGAGGAAGAGAAGGAGGAGGAGGAAGAGAAGGAGGAGGAGGAGGAGGAAGAGAAGGAGGAGGAGGAGGAGGAGGAGGAAGAAGAGAAGGAGGCGGCTCTCCCCGCCCCCGGCTCACCTGCCCCGCACGGCCCCGCCCGGGAGCGGGGCACGGCCGGAGCCCGCGGGGCAGCGCTCGGGACAGAGCCGGGTCCGGGTTTCGGTATTGCTGCTTAAAGGGTTTAGGGTGGGAGCGTGCAGGAATGGCCCCGAGGTCACTGAAAATGAGGGGGTTCAGTGGCAGCAGAGCGTGGGCGTCAGGGAAAGGTTGGGGATCAGGGAAAGGTTGGGAATCAGGGGAGGTTTGGGGATCAGGGGAGGTTTGGGGATCAGGGAAAGGTTGGGGATGGGGAAAGGTTGGGGATCAGGGAAAGGTTGGGGATCAGGGAAGCGCTGGGGATCAGGGAAGCGTTGGGGATCGGGGAAAGGTTTGGGGATCAGGGAAAGGTTGGGGATCAGGGAAAGGTTTGGGATCAGGGGAGGTTTGGGGATCAAGGAAAAGTTAGCAATCAAGGAAGGGTTGGGGATCAGGGAAGCGTTGGGGGTCAGGGAAAGGTTGAGGATCAGGGAAAGGTTTGGGGATCAGGGAAAGGTTGGGGATCAAGGAAAGGTTGGGGATCAAGGAAAGGTTGGGGATCAGGGAAAGGCTCTTCCCCAGAGGTGCTGGCACTGCCCAGCCTCCCCAGGGAATGGGCACGGCCCCGAGGCTGCCAGAGCTCCAGGAGAGTTTGGACACCACTCCAGGGATGCACAGGGTGGGATTTTGGGGGTCTGTGCACAGCCTGGGGATGGATCAGTGATCCCAGTGGGTCCCCTCCAGCTCAGGATATTCTGTGACTCGACAGGATCATGGTTTGGGTTGGAAGGGACCTTGGTGCCCGTGTCACCCCAACCCTTCCCCAGCCCAGGCTGCTCCAAGGCCGCTGCGCTGCTCGAGGTAACTCATTAATAGCTAAGAAAACAACGAGGTGACTCGAAAAGCACTCCAGGCATCTGGGAAATGTCACAGGGCCACACTTGACAGGAGACTCGATGTTCTAGAGATTGACTGAGCACTCAGTGACGCAGAGCTCCACTCCAGGGCCAGGAGCTGCCACTCCAGAGAGGCCTTGGAGACATGGGGACCAGCTGAGCATGAGCTGGGTCCTGCAGGGCCAGAACTGGGCTGGCAAAGGTCCTGGGACAGGGGTGCTCAGTAACGCCTAAAGAGATGTTAAATCACATTGTTCACCCAGCCTTGGGGCCAAACTGAGGAGAGCCAGGTTCTTCCCATCTTTCTGGGGCTGTAATAACTGGATATGTTCTGTTTTAGTGCCCGTGGAGCCCACGGAATCATGGAATAGTGGGGCTGGAGCGGACTTTAATCATACCTCCTTCCAGCCCCCTGCCATGGACAGGACACCTCTGTCTCTCATGAAAGAGAACACTGATCATTCAGAATATTTTAACACTTCTTTAACTGCATTAAAGCATGAAGATCTGGAGAGATCGTCACATTTTTGATTATTTCACACTGCAGGTGAGCGGCAGCAGGTCAGAGTTATTGCCCATCTCTCAGGATGCCCTGGGCAGATCGCTTTGGATCTCTGTGATTCCAGCCTGGCGTGTTCAGGAGGAGTTTTCCATACTCCCTCCTCTCTCACCTGTGTTTCCTGGGGTGTTCAGGAGGAGTTTTCCATACTCCCTCCTCTCTCACCTGTGTTTCCTGGGGTGTTCAGGAGGAGTTTTCCATACTCCCTCCTCTCTCACCTGTGTTTCCAGTAAGTTCAGTTTTCCTTCCTCTTCACTGGCGCCTGTAAAGGGCAGAGCAGCATTACTAAGAATTAATTATCAGCAATTTGCTCTAACAAATAAACCCAAATAAAAGCCAAAAGCTGCAGGCAGGACACTCGCTGTCACCCTTAGGCACAGCCCCTCTGCACAGTGCCCTGGTTTTTGTTGCAGTGCTGCTGATCTGAGCCTCTACTCACCCAGGATGTGCTGTCCTGTCCCACCCCGCTCACAGCAGGCAGCCAGATGGGGGAAATGGATTTACAGAAAATTCATAATAACCCTTTTTACAGAAAATTCATAACCCTGCCCTGAAATGATGTTTGGGTTTTGCCCAAGGGCTGCTCCTGGAGCTGCTCCCTGGACACGCAGCCCAGGGGTTCAGGGTGCTCCTGAGAACTCCAGCAGCACCTGAGGCCTCAGCTCAGAGCGTGGCAGGGAGGGACAGAAGGAAAAGGAGACAAGATTTGCAAGCTGGAGCTGCTTGACTGATTTGTTATTTATAAAACACCAACTTGGCGCAGCCAGCCTCGCTCAGACCTTGTTCTGGCACATGAAATCCTGGTTCTCATGCAGAAAAAGCTGCAGCTCCTCTGGTTAAAGGTTGAGGGGTGCCAGGGTGTGTTTCCCTGGAGCTGGGGGCTCACGGAGAGCACACGCCCTGCCAAGGCCCCTCCTGGTCCCAGCTGCGTGAACATAAAATATTTATGGGTTTGGCAAATCCTGAAAGATTCACCCAGGCTTTATAAATGGAAACTTAATATTGCAAAGGGCTTTGAGGCCTTCACGTGAAGAGCAGAGTCACTGGGATGTCAAAACAATTAACCATGATTTTCTAGGTCTGATTTTGGACTACCTGGATTGCAAAATATTCCCTGCTATGATTGGGATGTGGCTTTTCTGTGGCCTTTTTTTGCAGCGTATGGCAACAAGAGAAGCAGAGGAAAATGGGGTTTTTGGACCACTCTGTATTCCCTTCCATCCTGGGAATGCTCTGTCCATCACCCTCCAGGGCTGATGGTTAAATCTTGTCAAAGTTTCAATGCTTGGAATGAAATATTCCTTGCTGAAATTCAAGGTGCCCTCTGTGTGCTAACACCCAAAATCAGTTAAAATGGTTTTCCTCAGCAGAACACAACCAGCTGTTTCTTTCCTTAGAAAAGCAGTTTTATTGCTTTATTTCTTTTATTTTACTTGGCCTGGGCATTGATTTCTGCAAAAAAAAGAGGATAATCAGCTCCATGAGAGGTGTCCTGTAGGGGACAGGAGGGGGACCAAGGAACCTGCTGAGATCTGGGGCCAGATCATTAAAGAAGAAAAGTTTTCATGGAGACACCGACACTTTTTCAAGGCCTCCTGAATTCTGGCTGCCAATTCTCAGCTCAGGAGTGGAACTGACAGCCCAGACCCTGATTTTCCTACCAGATCCCTGATTTTTAGATAAGCTGCCTGAGCTGTGCCAGTGTTTTTCCAGCCCAGGTGAAACAAATTCTTGGCAGCAAAAGAAAACCAGAGCAAAGCATGAAAGGCAGGCAAGTAGCAACTGGAGTGCTGGTTTTACCCAAGTGGGGGAACTTGGGGAATGCTCCATCAGGGATCAGGATGTGCAAATGTCAGGGAGCGAGCTCAGCTCTCCCTGAAAGGTGGAGTTATTTCAGAAAGTCTTTTATTTCATTTTTTTAATCACCAAATCCGTGTTTTCCTTCTCATTTTCTCTCTTGCTTCACAGGGCCATTGATGGGGAGCCTGTTCTTCTCTGCCCCAAGCAGAATAAATTAAATAAAATTAAATTCTAATTGAGGCTGCAGCAGAAATTAACTCTCAGCCACATCAAACCCCCAATTCTGAGGTCGTGGGACAGATCAGAGTTGGGCAGAATTTGGGTGACTGAGGTTCACCCACATTTTTAGTGCTCTAAAAAAGTCATGTTACTCCTGGGTCCTTATAGCTGAAAGAGCAGCACATTTGCAAACGATCAGGCTGCAAAAGGAGAACCTTCCTCTACATTTCTAAATGCCTCTAAGCTTCTAAATGTGAAGTTAAAATCAGTAAAAAGAAGCCCTGTTATGCTGTTATTGCAGATTTTTTTGAAATTTTTTTTTTTTTTTTTTTTTTTTTTTTTTTTTTTTTTTTTTTTTGGTGGCACAACTGAAGTTTAAGGCATGGAATTCTGGTGCCCTCCTGTGTCCAAATCAGAACTACAGCAGTTAAAGTGCTACTACAGCTAGAAAAGAAAAAAATCTGACTTTTTTTTTCCTGGGATCATGCTTAAGAACTCTTCTGGATCAGTCTGGATCCTCTCAAGTCAGGCTTTGTGCATGTACAAACAGCAAAGAGGGCCCTTGAATAAACCAGGTTATATTTTAGCAACAGAAAGGACGTGGAAACTGGAGAAAAAAAATAATGAAGCCAACGAAAAAACTGCTA